AGTCGCTCTCTCCCCCCCGCCAAGCTTCTGTCCGGCGCCCAGGTGGAAATTCAGAAAATACCGGACATTGCACATGTCCAGTATTTTCTGAATTTTTCTACCAGACAGAGGGCGCAAATACTGGACTGTCTGGTAGAAAACCGGACACCTGGCAACAGCATAGTAAGGAGCAACTGTACATCTAAATGGTAAAGTGGATGTAAAGCTGCCAGACAAAGAATAGCAAAACAAGAGCTACCTAATGATTTCCTGAATTATGCAGCCTATACAAGTTTTTGTCTTATAAGTAAATGTTATGTTTTAGGTTTGTGAGAGACAATGAATTTGGCTGAGATTTGTGATAATGCCAAAAAAGGAAGAGAATATGCGCTTCTTGGGAACTACGACTCCTCTATGGTGTATTACCAAGGTGTCATCCAGCAGATTCAGCGACACTGTCAATCAGTCAGAGACCCAGCAGTTAAGGGCAAATGGCAGCAGGTATGATGAAGTTGTTGCACTGTTTGTGGTAGACTTGGAAAGAAATACTGCGTTGCACTAGCTTTTTAAAATCTAGCCCAAGTGTATGTTGGTTAAATTGAGTTCATGATATTTATGTGGCAATATTTCTTGTGACATAATTAGAAGGAATTCTTTAGTTCTAATTGAATCAATGTTCTTGTCTTCACATAGTGTATCTTGCTAATCAATGGACTAATTGTGTGTGACTGTCTATTTTGGAAATACTATTCTGTTCTGTTAATGATTTCCTTTTGCTGTCTCATCTTTCGTCCAACTAATAAGCAGTAAGATATGATGTGAGGGCATGGCCTTGCATCATTAAAAAGATCAATATAGTTGCAATTAACTAAAACGTTATCTGCAGATGTAGATAGCACTCTTTTGCCCTGATCTCACAATCAGTTGGGCATTGGCTCAGTTTTATTTGCATGAGCTGAAAGTTAAGTCGTTACGTAAACACTTGAGCCTTAATGACCTATCCTGGCCACATTAAAGTCAATTGATTTCAGAGATGAAAGGACTGGACCTTTTACATCATTTTGAAAACTGATCAGCTTGTCTTCAGCAGCCTTCTTCTTGGATTTCTTCTGTACAAAAAATGTTTTCTAAAATCAACAAATTTGGTCTTTGGAGGCTGTGTGTACAAATTGTTATTGTGTAAAACTTGAATGGGAGACAATAAGTCTCATGTAAGGGTTTATTTTTTTTAATGTAAGGAGGTAATATGAGGTAATTATTTTACATTTTAATTTTCACCAATTTAGAGTAATAGCACATACAAACATAAACTTGCATTGTTCCCTTACTTTGTTTCAATAAATAGATTTTTGTGTGGTTGAATGGAGCTGAAGTTAACATAGAACATTTTGTTTATAACATTAATCTATATGGTGCCTTATTTGGCCAAAATGTGTCTGATATAACTATCCATCTAATCATATGTGTTGGTTTTAAAATCTGCACAACACGTAACACCTACCTTTGGTTGCTTGCAGGTGGCTTCTACTAAAGTCATACCAGCATACCCAGTCCCAAAGGCAGAATTTGGCCCATCGATTTTAATAGATTCAACGAAAATAAGCAATTTTTCTGTCCATCAATTTTATAATTGATATAAAATTATATTGCTTGTTAATTTGTTCTTTAAAAAGTGATATTTGAAATCCAAGCGATTCGCACTGTAAGAATTTATGCAAACCCAGACTGACATATCTGAGCTCATGTGAGTTGATGGATTGCAGGATTCAACAGTAATATTGTTACAATATTGAGCTAAATCAAATGTTTTGGCCTAAAAACTGACATGTTCCCTCAAAGATTTTCCATCTGTTGTATACTGTATTTAAGTATTGAATCCATGATTTATGCATTTCCGCCCTTTTGTAGGTATTCCTTGCTGCTGGATCTGTCTGTTTTGGAATCTAAGATGACACCTGTTTATAGAATTACATCATGTAGCACACTGTCAGCTGCTTACTCATTTCTACTGCTATGCCAGTCTGCTTCCTCCACTTACGCGTTAACACAGATCAGTAGCTTAGGAGCAATTTACCTCCCTCGCACTATAGATTCATTCTCGTTCTTTCCATTGCTGGTAGAAATCAGCTCACAGATACTAAATATCATGCTGTTCATAGGTCTTCACATTGGGGCTACGAAAGATCTTGGCATTTACTAAGGTTTGTCAAACTGGCCATATTAGCCATACAATTCTAATATTTGGATTTCATTGAAAAACTAATTTAGTGCACAAAAGAAAAGGATCTTCTTGATTTCAGTGGGAGTTGGATCAGGCCATAAGTCAACAGATAGTAGATTATCAAGCATGAGATACATTTAAAGGAATTATCTAGTTGAATGGTCCTCGTTGTCTACTATGTTCTATGACCAGTAGAAAATGGAAGTTTCAGACATACATTATAAGTGTCTAACTTCACAATGAGACTTCCATTATAAAAGTAAGACAATGTGGGTGAAATATCTTTTATTGGACCAACATCTTTTGGTGAAAGAGACAAGCTTTTTGACCTCCACAGAGCTCTTTATCAGGTCAACTTGTCTCTTTCACCAACAGAAGTTGGTCCAGTAAATGGTATTATCTCACTCACCTTGATTCTCTTGTATCCTGTGGCCAACATGAACAATAATACTGAAAAATTATAAAAGTCACATTCCCAGTTTCTTCTGTTGCCTTCTTTTAACCTAGTCTATCCAGTATTCAGCCTCTATTTCCCTCGTCTTATGTCTGTCACTGAAAACATTTGCTGGTGCTTTGAATGTATTGTGATGATTCACTTGTAGAAGTTAACATTTTGATCAAGTTTTATACAATATCAGTGCATGGATCTCGCAGTTCATAATCTCGAGATTCCTTTAAAGTGTAATGGGAGTAGTCACATGTTTGAGAACTGCTGCTTAGTTCTTTTTATATGTTAATTTACTCCATGGTAATAAACATTCAACACTTTTTTTTAACTGTTGTAAGTTGAGATGCTGTAAAAAAGACCTGTGCAAAAGTTTTAAAAAAAACAACAACACCCACTCTTTTTTTCTGAAATCAGTTGTTTATTTTGAAGGTCCGGCAAGAATTACTGGAGGAATATGAGCAAGTGAAGAGTATAGTCAACACGTTAGAGAGTTTTAAAATAGACAAACCTACAGATATTCCTGTCTCCTGTCAAGATGAACCATTTAGGGATCCTGTGGTTTGGCCACCTCCAGTTCCAGCTGAGCACAGGTAACTGGGAAGTAGGCTGGAATAGTTCAAACCTTAACTCCAGCCTTGAACATCCATCTTTCTTACCATCGGACATGTGGATTTTTTTGAGACTCTATTGTTACCTAAAAAGAATTCTGCCGTTCAAATGTTGGGATGATTTTTGAGGAATTGGGTGTGTTTGTACAGTGGAAGAAGGCGTGTTGGACTTTTATGGCATGGGTTTGTGTAGTAAGGTGTATGTATGCAGATTGCACAGTTTGTTAATGTTGCCAGAACTGATTTTTCTTGACTTTCGATGATATTGCACAAAATTCTTTATGTGCAATATTATAAATGTCTCAGAATCATTACAATTACAGATAGAAAAGACCTATTAAATCCACCACTCGTAGATTCATGACCTGTAGGAAGGGTTATTTGCTAGTCTCAACAGCAGCTATTTTTGAGTCAGTAGTGATTAAGGTATGGCCTTAGGAATTTAATATATATCCTCAAGCCAAGTTTCAGGCACTGCTTTGATACTGAAAGAAATCTGCAGATAAAGTGATGCTTTCCAGAGCTAGGCCCTGATCCAAAAATCCTACTGTAGTCCATGAAAATACTCCTATTGAATTCATTGGGCTTTAGATCAGGCCCCTAAATGACAAATGGAGGAGAATGAATGACAAGATGGAATTTTGATTCTTTTGGCTTTCATAGTGATTCAGCGGAGTTAGTGAAATATTAAAGCATTTTCTTTCTGTCTGTCTGTCTTTCTTTCTTTGCTAGAGCTCCACCTCAGATAAAGCGTCCCAACCGAGAAGTTAAACCTTTGAGGAAAGAATCACCGGGATTGCAGCCGCGAGGGCCTGTGGGCAGAGCACACCCAATATCAAAAAGTGAAAAGCCTACCAGCAGCCGAGACAGGGAATCTAGAGCTAAAGGGAGAGAGGATAAGGTAAGAATTGGGAAGGGAAGGGGAATTGTGTGTGCAGAGGGGAAGCATTTTTTTTAAATGAGCAAAAACTTAAGTTTTCTAAAGCAAGGGCTGATGTAGAGGGTCTATATCAGATCATGGACAAACAACGTATTACAGTTGTAATATCACCAAGCTGGTTACTGCTTTAAACTCTCAGCGCTGTTTTTAATCAGGAAGGTTTTTCATAACAGCACAGTTTACCGGAGCTTTGGTTTTTTTGCCCATTTCAGCAAGGTTTATAAGCCTCATTCTAATCTCTGGTATAATATTCTAAATGAGAAGTAAATTCTATTCAGTAAAAGAGATCAGAATTGGGCCAAGTAAAGAATATAGAAGTGAGATCAGAGAGATATTATGCAATTTTATTAATGTTCTAGAGGATTTAAATTAAGATGAATTAAAACAGTTGAAAGTGTTTTGTAAATTCTGCAGTGGTCTATAACTATTTACAAAAGTATTTTTAGGAATGTTCTTAACTAGCATGTGGAGAGGTACCAAAAGCATTAAGAATCTTATCATTTATAAGATTATTATAAATAACAAAACGCTTAGAGGTTGACGTTTCTTTGAAAAACACTGGGGGTTCTGAATTCAAATGGATTGGGATTTGAATTTAGTTTTTTAAAAGGTTTGTTGTGAAAAGAAAATACTAGAGTAAGAGAGAGGAAAGTAGGAACTGATTCACCAACATGTAACATGTAAAAGACATTTCAAAAGGATTTTTTGAGAAAGTAAGATGTGTATATAGCTGGAACTGCGTTACAGCCTTAACTGTGGAGTCACTATCAGGAATCCATATAATCCATGGTGATACTCAGATCTCAGTGGTTCAGGAGCCAGTTAGCCAAAAGAGGCACAGTAGTGTGGATTCATTGTTTTGTTTACTATTTTTTATAGCACTAGTCATATTTAAACAGTACAACAGGGAACTACTAAGTTTTTATATACTTATATATTATTTTCATAGCAAATAAGTTAATAACTTAATTGGTTAACCTAACAGAAGCATCCTGATTGGTTAAAAATTAAATAACGCTATGTTGTAATATCATGTGCTACAAAGAACCCCAGGAGATGCATTAAAGAGCCACTTGTGGCTCATGGTTGCTCTCTGAGTTACCAGTATAAACAATACAAGACTGGAGCATAATGAGATGGCTTTTGTGAGATATGGAAGCTTACCTATTTGAGTGTGTGGTATAATATAGGTTGTGAGTGGCGAGTTAGGAAGTTTTCATAGTTATACACTAAATACTCAGGAATGAGAGGGTTTATGGGGAGAATCCTGCACTGTCAAGGAATAGACAAAAGCCATCCTTGTATCAGTAATTTTTTAATTTGTAGAAGAGCATGTTAAGCAGTACCACTGGTTGTCACAAGTTCTTCTGATATAGTCTTCTAATAGTACTAGGGAACAACCCACCAAATTAATTTTGAAATGTAAAGTTGAATCATTTTAGAAATATCTCTCTGCATACTTAGAACAGCAAGATTTACAATAACAAGTGAATGCTCTGCACGCTATAAAAAGCGTTTAAAGAACTGTGAAAATTGTTTACAGTTCCGCCAATTAAATGAGGAACTAGAATCATGTTGTGTGATCAGTTTATTACACCAGGCATCTAAGCATTCACATCTTGCTTCTGAGGATAAAATCATGCACACAACAAAGGGTCTGGTAAGGAGCATTATAAGGATTTACTATGAGTGAGCCTGTTCTGGTACTAGTGGAGCCTATGCTGGGACTAATACTATCAACAGTCTACAGCAGGGAAGCCAGACAGAGAAGCATCATAAATAGAAATATATTTCGTATAGTAATTCACTTTTTAAAATTGATTTTATCTGAATATTTGTAAAAGCTTCTGTTCGCACTGATACCTAATGTAAGCAAGAACATACATTTATTCAGTTTTATCCTTGTCTGCTAATAAGCATTGATGTCATCTAGTGTTTGGAATGGAGCTGAAATTAGCATACTTCTTTTTGTCAGCACGTCAATTGACATGAGATCAGTTGCTGCTTATGTTCCATTTATTTTTAAATGTTACTGGAGAAGGGCACATGATGATTAAAATTCTGTTGGCTGCTTAATAGACACTTGTTGCTCTAAATCATGCTTCTCTACAGCATGCAGAGAGATTTCTAAAATGACTGAATGTTGTATTTTAAACAGGATCTGTTTGGTTGCCTGGCCTGCTATTGTTAGAAGTTGTGAAGATTTTCATTCAGTAAAACATTGGCTGCAGTGAGACTGGCTGTAGCTAGCACTGGCTTATGCTTTATAAATGCTTCTTTTTCTGGATGTGTAGCCAAAAGAACAAACTCATCTTGTACGTTTGTAACCATCCCTTTTCCAATCCACATAACAAATTCTCCAAATCTGATTATAAGATGGGTCAGGGAGTTTGTCCTTTATTTGCCTACAAAGCAATACACATGTTTATGATTCTACATGATTAATAATTCTACTCTTAGAGAGCCCACTCCAATAGTGGTTATGCTCCAGCATCCCTTTGAAATGCTGCTTCCCAAGTGTAGTGTTAGTTGTTTTTAATTTAAGGTCTTGGAAGTCTTCAGGCTGGTTGTCATGGTGCCCCCTGCTGGAATATCGTCCAGAATTTGAGCCTTTCTGCCCAGTGGTTTATTTTAAATAGGCAACATATGTATGATACTAAGAATGTATAGTGCCATAGGAGAATGTTTCAGAATACTGTGAAAATTAGATTAATATCTTCTAATAGGGAAGCCACCATAAAGCTATGCAGAGTACTTCTACCCACCTAATGCTACAAAAGGAGATGCTGTTATGCCTGGAAAAGTATTCAGAGCCACCCATGAATATATAACTCAGACCTTATTTGGGCAACTAATCTTTAAATCTGTGAGTAATCCCATTTACATTAATAATGGAGCAGCTTGCTAGACTAATCAACGAAGTAAGGGTTTCAGAATTGGGTTTATTTGTATTATTATTAGTCTTTTCGTTGTACAGGCAGTCCCCGGGTTACGTACAAGATAGGGACTGTAGGTTTGTTCTTAAGTTGAATTTGTATGTAAGTCGGAACTGGTACATATTGTAGGGGAAACTCTAGCCAAACATTTCTCCAGAGCTCAGTTTTATTCTCCCACACCTCACTTCCCTCAGTCCTTTATTCTCAAGCTGAGGTGTCTGCTGAGAAAAGCCGCTCCGCGTCTCCCTGGTCTGCTGGGGGGGGGCACTAGCTTCGCGTCTCCCTGGTCTGCTGGGGGAAGTAGCTAGTGCGGGGTTGCTTCACCCCGTTTGTAAGTAGGGATCCGATGTAAGTCGGATCCATGTAACCCGGGGACTGCCTGTATATGAAAACTGGAAATATTTTAAATCTTGCTTTATTTCAGGTGTGGATAAGTAATAAAATGCCCTGTTCTGCCAAATTGATACTCAAACTGTAGGGTTTCTATTTTTAAGGGTTCATTTATTATGTTTTTCAGGGCTTATTTTTAGCAATTTTGGGGTTTTATATAGTGTCCAAAAATCAGGATTTTCCAGGGGTCTTTTTGTATATTTTGTAATTAGTAATGTATATGTTATACATTACTCATTACTCTAGTCTGCAATGTAATGCATGATCTCTTTGCAATGTTCTCCAGGGCACTTTAACTTAGTACTGTTTCAAACAGCACTACTGTTAAGTGCACTAAGGAACTTTTATTGTGAACCAGCAGGGTCCACACAGACCAATTAATGCGCAACACATTATTGTGCTTTAGAAATTATACCTCTGTTGTCCTCATTATTGCTCCACGTAGACAAGCCCTTTATTTTGTTACACCTCCTACGACTGTTCATTTTCATGAAGGGTTTATTCAATGCATACTCCCTAGTATTCAAACCCAACTCCTGTGCGACCTTAATCTTATTATCTCTCCTTTCACAAAGCCACCCTTAAAGCTCCTGGCAATGTGCTCCCTCTCCCACCTGTCCATGAAGGTGGTAGCCATCACCTCATTTAGACAGGTCAGTGAACTGGTGGCTATGATGGCAGATCTCTCTTACACTATGGCTGTGTCCAGACTCAGGGGTTTTTTCGAAAAAAGTAGCCTTTTTTCGAAAAAACTTCCCCTGCGTCCAGACTCAAGCCGCATTCTTTCGAAATTAATTCGAAAGAACGCGGCTTTTCTTTCGATGGCGGTAAACCTCATTTCACGAGGAAGAACGCCTTCTTTCGAAAGTTCCTCTTTCGAAAGAAGGCGTTCTTCAATGTAAATAGGGCTTCTTCAAAAGAGAGCATCCAGACTCGCTGGATGCTTTCTTTCGAAAAAGCAAGCCGCTTTTTCGAAATTTCTCCGTGCAGTCTAGACACTCTCTTTCAAAAGAGGCTCTTTCGAAAGATGCTTTCGAAAGAGCCTCTTTCGAAAGAAGCCTGCAGTCTAGACATAGCCCTCCTTCCACCAGGACAAAAAATCCTTTACTATTACAACCTAAATTCCTTCCAAAAATAGTGTTGAAGTTCCATCTAAATTACTGCATCTACCTACCTGTTTTCTGCCTCGAACCACAGGCCTCCCATGTGGACAGGATGATGTCTGCCGTGCACTGGCGTTTTGTCTCCATAGGACTTGCTCCTTTTGCACATCACCAAAACTATATGTGGTGAATGCTCACTGATCTGAGGGCCAAGTCCCCTTCTCCTAATGAATTTACAAATGGGTCTTTGGGCGCATCTGCAAAAGCCACACACAGTCCAATGTTCCCATGCCTGATGGAGTCAGAGTGCATTCTGTGCAAGCACAAGCAGCCACACTGGCCTGCCTTGCAGAGGTCTCATGGCAACAGATTTGTAATGCAGCTATCTGAGACCCCATTCACATGTTCATTGCCCACTATGTCATCATATGAGCAGCAGGTACTGAGGCTGCTGTAGGCCAAATTATACTGCGGACTGCATTTCCATGCTGATGACTGCTAGTTGAATGCCCACAGGGAATACATGTAGGGA